GCTTATATGGCACCAGCTGTCATCCCTCCTCATGGCTTACAGACCACACGACGTTCTTTCCAAGGTCGAACATAATGCACTTCCTTGACATTCAAATTACGATGAAGGAAGAAGAAAACAACAAGCTAGTCTTTCTGGATGTGCTTTTTCCGCAAAGACTGTAGTGCACTAAAAACTGAAGTATTCAGGAAAGCGACCAACACTATGCAAGTCCTGAACCTTGCCAGCAATCACACGATCAGCGACAAATTCAGCTGCGTAAGAGCGCTATACCGGCACGTTGAGACGCGTTGCAGTGAAGTGAAAGACAAAGTTGCTGAATTACACTATCTACGATGACTACTGAGAGGGAATAGTTATCCATGCAATTTTGTCTACCAGTGCATACGCAGACGAGACAAGAAATCAAATCCAACCGGCCCAAAAGCTTGACTAACTCTTTTATACGTGAAAAAATGTATCGGAAGTCAGATGCCTTATTACTCCACTTGGAGTTGGAGTTGAGCACAGGCCAGAAGCAACCATCATGCGCCGAATCATGAAACTGAAAGACCCACTGCCACGGCAAGATGCGGCTGGAGTCACTCCCTGGGTCTGATGCAGTTATGTACAAAGCAACTACGTCGGAGAAACCACAAGATTACTCCAGATGCGAAAGGCCGAGCACGCAGCAGCAGTTAGGAGGAAAGACACCAACTGCCAAGTTGCAGCCCACTCGACAGGGCCCGGCCATATTTTCAAGTTTGATTGGGCCAAAATCCTCGTAGGAGGTGACAATCGCGTGAGCCGCTAGCTGTCTGAGCAGAAGAATCAGTCACGTGGAAAGAGCCGGCAGCAGTAACAACTCGGACGACAGCGAACACAATTGTCGCCAAGCTATGAAGCCCGAATCCGACAGGGATGACGAAATTTCGGCAATTAATGACTCGGAAGCAGACTGCCAAGCCATAATCGCACCAATTACGAGCTACAGCGGTGATTACGGGTGCTGATAATTATAGTGCGCATCTGGTCGCGTGGCCGCTACGAACTATAAATACTGCGTAAACTGTGCGTGTATCCCCCTATTCTGCGGTTTTCTCTGACTAAAAGTTTAAGACAGAATCCTAAACGTCAGCCAAATAAGCCACTTGTTAGCGCGATCGTATCCTCTACTTCCGAACTGATTCCTGTAAATCGCCTGTTCGCTTCTGTAAGCACATTTGTACGTCTGGCACATACCTTAATCCCTCTCCATGCAGCAGTCAATTTATAAAAGCAAGACAAATTCAATAAGATTTGACATTGACAAGGGCACGAAAAAAGGCAAAGGAAAACGCTCTGTTATATGTGAAATACGCATAAGCTGGACCCCGACTGCAAACGCACTGGGATCGGGATCTCATTTAGACGGGGGTGCCATAAAGTTCGCATAAAGGAGTCACCTAGGCGTGACCCAAAGTCCCTACTAGGACCGATTCACCACATCAATTGGCTCACGCACAAGAAATTACTATTGGCGCTTGGAGGGCTACAAAGCATGTTTAACGATTTATATTGAGGGACTGCGTATTGGATCCGAGCTGACTTAATCTCGCTCAATTTGCCCAGTGGCATGTCCAAGTCAAAACGACTGGAAAGGCGAGTGAGCGCAGTGACTGAAGCAAAGTGAGCTTCTGTCTGGGACTTGTAACATGCACGTAAAAATAGTATTTAGGGTCACACGCAGACACAGTACAGTCCGGAAAAAAACACAAGTTGAGAATCCAATATGGCCCCTACATTTTTAGCCTAAAAAAATGATGACACAAATCATTTGAGGGCAATCTATAAGTGCTACGAATGCAGAAGAATAAAAATCAAAGTTGACAATGGATCCAAACTAGTGAACTGAAAAGTTTTGCTAACAAATTATACTCAACTAAGAATATAAATAAAACTTTAAATATGTTTACGTGCAGTTTGTGCATACACAAAGAAGTTAGCTACTGAATTCCATAAATGTCATGCACAATACCAACCATGATCCGTCCCGCACTAAGACTGGTGCGAAAATACAAAGCGACAGACTTCCCGAACCCTAAGGATCTATGAAAAAATCACCAGTCTGCTGGAAAGAGCTGAAGGTAAGCGAAACGGAGATTGGCCTCAATTATTAAACCAGGGAAGGGAAATTATGTCCATAAAAAAGGTAGGCAGACAAGTTTGGTTGGATAGCATTACCAACCTGTAGCGAGAGTTCAGTTGGGGTCGGTGGATCTTCTTCATCAGTCTTGGTGTCTGCTGGTACTTCAGGTATCGTGTTGGGAGACACAGAGGCAAGAACACTCTGTAGGTACATGAGAACGTCGTCCGCGGGGAGAGTTTCCTAAATATAAAGCAAATCAGAGATGGTGTTAAGCAGACTCCAGGTGACAGGCCGCCCGTTATAGACGACGACGACGACGACAACTATTACTACTACCCGAAGGAATCACGAGTTAACCGACTAACATTAAAGGAGGTTAAGTCAGTGTTTACCCATAACTCCCCTATTCACATTCATGCTCTTATAATGACAGTACATAATCAAGGACTAAAAATAAGGGTTGGTGTCTGTCTACACATACTCATTAAGTGCTGCTTCGAACAAGTACACGAACCAGATTATACATAAGGTATCGAGTCTTTCGAGGAGGAACTCTCGCAAAGGTCATGCATTAAAGATTC